ATAGACTCTGATGGGCATTTGCTCAGTACAATTACAGTTCTCCCAGATTAATCAAATATGTTTTCTGCTTTCATGTTTGGAAAAAAAAAATACTACCTSTTCTGGTTAACCTGATCTGAGCCAGTCTAAAACGTCCATGATAATTAAAAAAAGGCAATCTGTGCTTTGTAACCCTTTCTTCATACTATAAAAATGATGAATAAGGAAGCACAGTGAAAGCTATATATCAGTCTTGAGTCTGATAATCTAATAAGAGCATCTTTTTGGCAGTTTCACCTTTTGCTCATTGATCTCTAGCTTGGTAATTCATTTCTCCTACTTAAAACCCTGTATTTATTAGAATAACTAATTCCTTGTTGCTAGAGTTATGCACCGGAAATTTGTAGTGTTACAGTTCAGACAATCTAATCTATTCATTGTGGTAAGAGCACAGAGGAGGAAGACAAATTATTTAGAGGATTATTACTTAATGTGTTTGAGGAAAGACAAGAAATAAAGCTGAATGGATGAAACTAAGAGGAAAATTTAGATTGTGACTATTAAGCAAAAGTTCTTGTAACTGAGGAGTTACCTGTTGATTGATCCCCTATGGGAAGGTGATGAGATCTCATCTGGGAGTGCTTAAAACTCCACTGGATAAAATATTGATCGCAAAGAACAGCTCTGTACTGATCAAGCAAATGAATTGCTATGTCTGTGCTATTGTTTTCTGTGCTGTCCTATGCCATAACTGCAGCATACTCTCATCTTTCGAGGCTGCACTGTTTTCAGTTCTATCTGGGATTAAAACCTGAGGGTCTGGTTTGGCTGCCTTAGCTCCTGTGGAATTTAATGGAAATTGCTCATCAGATCTTGAATGTGAAACACATTGGCAGTGCTGGTTACCTCCTCCAGTTTTGCTTTTTGATCTTGCTGAAAGGATGGGGCAGTCTGGGTAATTTCTTCACCTATCAGTTCTGCCCTGTTCCAACATTAATTACTTGTTCCCGAGAAGAACAAAAATTGCCAATAGAGAATAGTAATAAAATTAACTGTAAATTATTTTTAGTCCGATATAAATTCTGCCTAGGCATTCTTTTTGTAGTCTTTTTGTTGGCAAAAACACTCAAACTATCTGCCTTGACCCCTCTTTTGACTCAAACCATCATGGGGTAGAGAGGAAGTGGGCAGTTTATGGGCTTGTACTTAGTGACTATTGAGATGCTTGACATGTACACATTTTAAATGTTATGCCTTTCCTCTATTTGGATATTTTCATTTCCTAAGTGATATATAAGGTTTTGTAGAGATCCAAAGATAACAAACATTTAGTTATATACATTACAAGCTGACATTTGTTCTGTTTACTTAGAATGCAGAAAAAGTTTTTTAAGGAGCAAGATGAAGAAAACATATTTAAATAGTAAATGTTTAAGTTTTACTATTGAAAATCTAAATATTGCCAAGTAAAACTACAATTTGCCTTTCTATGAAAGCAAACACACAAAATTCAATCACGGGAAGCAGCATGTATTATTATTAGGATGTTACAATCCTCCTGCAAAACGGAGAAAACAACGAAGGCATGAGCCCTGTGTTCAGAGGAGCTCTGTTCTCCGTCTAGCAGGAGCTGCTTGGGGTTAGGAATCGTGTTTGGCCTTTGACATAATGGGAACCTACAAGGCAGGTTTCTGCCAGAGAGGCATCAGGTTCCGCTTTGGCCAGTGGATTTGTTGTCAGTAAAGGATCTGTGGGAGACCCTCGCCTGAACCTCATGTTTCTCCCTTTTGAAAAGGGGAGATACAGTTTCATAGATCTGGAGGGATCCCGCAATGTTGGTGTTTCAGCCTGCACCACATATGTCTGTCAGGTCTGTGTGTGTGATCCATAGGTCCCTGCCACACGTTGGAAGTGCAGGAAGTGCAGGGCTCCAGCCCTGGAGGCTTCCTGCTTCTGCTGTGCAGAGGTTGGGCCAGCACCTTAGACACCTTCTTTAGCTGTGAATCAGGAAGGTCAGTGTGACACCTCTGCCTTAAAACTAGGTTTCACTTCAACACGTGATTGATTGCAACTCATAAACTGATGTCCAACTAAATAGCTTCACTGCTGACACTGCAGGAGACAAGAGAGTCAGATTGCATTTTATCACCCAACTCAATATGCAACCTATACAGTACTGCGTGGCTGCAGCAGCAAGAGGGACATTTGTAGTAGTTATGCAAGATGTTGGTAGGTACAGTGTGTGTCCCAGAGCAGCCCAGGGTCGGATGGCATTTAATGCATTGCACAAGCTTTGATCAAAGAACATATGACCATGTCCAGTGGCAGAGATCCAGGTCTCTGCTGAGGACTGAGCGCTCTTCCCAGCCATGCCAAGATGGTTTTGCCTGTGTTACAGTGCCGCTGTTAACTGCGCTGACTCTGTGTAACATGGCATCACCCATGGGTCCTGATTCCATCAGGAATTACTTCACAACCTGGAGATCAGCGCTCCGGCAGTGCCCTGAATCCCAGCACTGTGCTTTTTCATGGGGGTTTTGAGGGCCCCAAAAGCCTGAGATTGTGCCAGGGCCCAGTCTCCATGAGGAGACCATTAGGCCCTGTCCCCATGATGAGGCCATGAGGCGACTGTRGGGCCCTGTCCCTGTGAGGAAGCCACAGCCATTGCCCATCAGGGACAGCGCAAACTGGCCTCCGCTGCACCAAGGCGGCAGCTCATGGAAAGCTGAGGAAAAACTTTGAATGTGCCCCAGCTGGCAGATCTTATCCTCTGCACAGCTGACCGCCATTTTGGGGTGAGCCAGCGTGGCGGGAATGGTGCCRGCGCCTGCAGAGGCTCACCACACACAAAATGGAAGCTGCCACCGCTGGCCTGAGGTAAATCCTACACCTTGGCTCAACGTCACCTTACTGAACATGGGAAAGGAGCAAAATGCAGCATGAACAACTGCTGGAGAAGGCGACTGAAAGCGGGCAAGAGGAGTTGGTCTCTCTGTGGTGCTGAGGGTGGCCCGAGGTCCCTTTGCTGAGCAGGGAAACCATGATTGCTGCGTGGTGGGTGCTGCCCCAGTGCTACCTGCTGGCGCCGTGTGGTAAGAAAAGCAAGCAGAGATTTTAAAACTTGTGTGAACAATGAATATTAGTTCTGTTGCCACTGTTGCTGTGTTATCATGCTTTAGCATCATGTTATTACATTGCTATAGTATCAACCATCATTTCAGGGTGGCAAATGGGTGGTGAGCTCTACCTCATGCTGAGCCACTCCTTCCTGAGTTTCGCCTCCACTCAATTTTGGTGAGAAAAGCAAAAAATGATGTTCAGCAGTTCAAACTGCTGCACTTGAGTTTACCTTGATGATTCTGTTCAAAATATTGGGCTTAAAGTATGTTTGGACAGCCCGTAAGAGCTACAGCACTGTCCTGGCCTGTCGGTGTTCTGTGGGCTTCACAATGTTCAGTTTCTTTTTAAATGATCTTTTCATTGAATATTGTTACATGTGAAATATTTTGTTTCTTTTATTCTTGTGATCTAAATGGCTGAATTTGGGATTCCAAAAAAACCTAAAAGCTACTTTATTTTTTACTGTTAGGAATTGTCAGTATAGAAAATAACAAGRGCAGAAGATGAACACAATTTCTGTTCCTCTCAAAAGGCCTCTGTAAGTCTTCTAAGTTTTTCTAGTTTTTGATAACAAAACCCTTAATTTTAGATAATTATTTTTAGGCAACGGTCACCCTCAGTAAAGTATGTAGATGTTCTTTTAAAAAGCAGTTTTTATAGAGTTCTTTTGTCAGAATAATAACTAAAATGTGAGTACTCAGTAACTGGAAAAATCTTGCACACTGTCCTTGAAACAGGGCATAGTGGTTTAAAAAGAGACTACAAAAAGTAATTTTAATGTATTACTGAATTGTTAAAGTTCTCAGTTTTAATATATAAGGCCATTGTCAAATTATGGCATCATCCTCATTTTTCAAATTTTTAAATATACATATTTTATAGGTAAGTTTACAAACATATAAAGCATTTGAAATTATTTGGACTAAATCCATTAATTTGATCCGTTATGAGCTTTTGTGCAAGTTGCCTTGCAGAGCACGTAGGGAGCATGGGTTTTTCTCCGAAGCTCTCTGTGACATCTGTTGTTAATATTCTAACATCTTTCTTTCGTGTACATTTGATAGACAACATACTTTTGGCAGTCTTTGTTATTAGAATTGCCAAAATGTTGATACTAATGAGTGCCTTGGTTTGTAATGAGTGCAAGCCAGAAGGAAACTTTTCAGAGATTCATCTCTGAAACCAAGTTATTTCTAGAAAGCCAAATGTTTTAACATCCCCTTTAGGTAATCAGAAATAGGTTTATAATAGAATAAGGAAATGATTTCTGTTCAGGAACAGTTGTTCAGATTTATCTGCTTCTTCCTCTTTATTTCTGACTTGTGTGTTTTTTAAATGCAAAGCTCTGTTGGAAGCCTATCCAAGTGCCAGGCTGTGGGACTTTGTTCCATTAGGTATTTAAGCCCTCCTAAATGCCCCTTTAGAGGGGATTGATGTGAATACATAAATGACATTTTGAGATTTTCAGAGTTTCAGATGTGGCAGCGCTGAGCACTGMACTCTATGGTTTGCCGAGATCTGTCCACAGAGCGGAGGGCACATGCCATGTACCGTGTGAAAAGTCCCCTCTGGAAGAGCCGTGCAGAAGCAGAAGAGGGAATCCATTGGGAAGTAGTTCTAGATAGGCTGGATGTGTAGTCTGGTTCCTGGCAGGAGACAAGTTCCTAGGTTGCCTTTTCAGAGTTGAGTGACTTGTCATTTCCCTGAAATCATGTGGGACAATAAAGAGGTGGTTGCAGAATTCAGCTGAAGTCAATTTGCTTTGTTGCAGAGAGTCAAGGCTGTTTATTTTACAGCCCCGAAGAGTTCATCAGCCCCAGAGCTACCCGCTCAGCCTCTGCTGTGCCAAACCCCATGTGGCAATGGGAGCATGTGCTGGATCAAGTGATGACCATACAAATACTGGGGAATCCCATGTGAGGAGTAAATCCAGAACTGCAGAGCCCTCAGAAAATTGGCATGTGGAATGTGGAGAAGTCAAGCAAGCTTTAGGTACCAAGAAAACTTCAAGGTAATAACTGGAACATAGGCACAAAGGAGGCACCTTACATTAGAGAGCCCTAGGAGATGGTTTTCACCATCGTGCTGCAGTGTTTGAAGTACGTATGATACACAGTTAACTCCCACTGATGTTTTGTGTCTGAATATTGACTTTATCTGCTGGATTGATGCACATAAAAAGGCTGGATTTAGGAGTTACGATAGTTTCTTCATCAGACACATAAACCAAAGATCTCATTTAAATATTTTTATCCATTTCAGAATCTGAACAAGAGCTGTGAAAAGCCTGTGCAGACACTGTCTAAAATCCTGTTCCTGTCAAGGTAAAAGGGGCAACTTCAGCATAGAACAGATCTTACAATGTAATAATACTACTATTTTGACTGTAAATATTTATATACTACAGAAAACAAGTTGCTTTATTGATAGTGTTGCTTTATTCTAGAAATATTTATTGGTCAAATTCATTTTTATTTATAATTCTATAAATTCTGACCAAGTTAGGTGGTGAGAAATTTGCCCAGATATGGAGGAAATACAAACTTTTAACTCTATTAGAATTTTGTATAATACTACTTTTTCATGATTCAGTTTTGGTGTTACTCAAATTGACGTACACAGACTTTTGCTGTTGTCTTTGCAAAATTAAGTTCCTAGACACGAGTTCTGTAGTGGAGCACAGTATCCTAAATTCAGTGTTTTGCAATGGGCTTTTATCTTCAGCTGCCATAGTTTGAGAGCTTTATGTGCAGTGAGTACAAACTAGGTATCCCTGTTTTCTTGAAGCTACATGTCAATCCAGGAATTCAGACTCCTGAAAGTACAGGGAGCAACCTGCAGGATTCATAGATGGAATATGTGTCTCTAGTATATTCTTCATATACTATGTTAAGTCTTCCCAATAACATATCTTTTGACCAACTGACTTTAGATGAGTCAGCTGAGTATTGATTCAGATTGGATATGTATGCAAACATGAGTACTGTGAATAAGAAGCAAAATGAGAGAACAGCGAACAAAGACCAGCTCTCCCCTCTTTGCTGAAATCTTCATTTGCTAAAATGTGAAAATTCACTTTCCCCCAGTAGATGTCAGCATCGCTACAAACATGCCCAGGTTATGGCTACAAAAGAGACCTTCTGTTTATGATTTTAATTAATTTCTCTATTTCAGTTTTGTAAAGGAATAGCAGATCTAAACCAGTGGAATCTATTGGCCTCTGAGACAGGATTATAGATGGCTACCCAGTGTTTTAGAAAAATAATATATTCTCAGTAATGCAGAAATCATACAGAACTTAGTGGAAAGGGCTTATTGCTACATTTTTAGAATATTCTGAACATTTACCTCACATTTACCCTCCAGGCAAATGTGAAGTAATATAAGATGTCTAATATTTTGCTTCTTTCTGTGAAGTAAATCAAAACCGTGGGAATGTTTTCATATAATTTGATTTACTCCTGTCTCCTATAATACATCTTCAACTCTGTTCGATTAACTCTCTGCCTGCTATAAGAAAGGGGCACAGTCTTATTCTCACTGAAGGCAATGGCAAGTGTTCTGTTCACTCTCATGGGAGCTGTTTGCCCCAAAGGAGTTCTCAACCACAAAGGAAGGATGTGGAAGGAAGTTTTTTTTAATAGTGGTGTGTGTGTGTGTGTGTGTGTGTGTGTGTGTGTGTGTGTATGGCAGGGAAAGAAAAAAAAAGAGAGATGTTTATTTGGGGATGTGTAAAGAACATTTCATTTTGCTTTACGTTTATAAAATAATCAGAAATATTTCAAAATCATCACGTATATGAAATGAAGACCAGAAAATAAATATTCTGGTGTTTATTTCATTAGAGAAGGCGAAACTTAATTTCTTCAGATTCCCTTAGGAAAGTCTTTTCCTTCATCTCGTCTCCAGCAGGACTCTCTAATGTCTTGTGATCTATTGGGTACTCATGAAGTACACAGTATATCATGACAGATTTGCACCTTTGGAAGTGAAAATTGTGCCCTCAGAAACATCATCAGCCCAAGACAAACTAGTGAACATCTCTCCCCATGCGTGGCACCATCTCATCAGCGAGAGTACCAGGATGAGCAGCACTAAAACCTGGAAGCCTCTTCAGGAGCTGTTGTGTGTATTCCCTTGTCTGTAGGGAATGGGCCGTATGGGTTTGCCACACAGCAAGGTGCTAGCTAGAGCTGGCCAGCTTCAACGCCCAATTCCACTAACCAGAGATGCAGCTTCAATCGTCTTTTTAGGGTGGGATCAGATGGAGTAATTTTAACTGCTATCAAATGGAGATAAAGAGCTGCCCTRTGCTGAGCTCAGTTCTTTTCAGGTACCAAAGCTACCATATTCTCCATGGTGTCTATGCAAGTGTCTGTGGTTAGTTGTCCACATCCACCTAGAACATTTTCATTTCCTGTGTCAGAAGCAACCTTGCAAAGCTTTGTATTAAAGTCACAAGTTGGGAAGCACCATGCCACAGTGTCCATCTTACATTCTTGTTCTCCCACAGATGTGGGCTAGGAGATGCTACCTGGCGAGCGTGTGCCACCAAAGTTGTAAGTACCAGTCCTAGACATAAGCCTAAAACCAAGGGGAGCCAGCAGGGTTTGGGTCCCCCTCATGCAGCCACCAATGTCCCCATCTCAGCCTGGGTACATGAGGCAGAGAAGGAGAGGATCTGCCAAGCTGAGCAGCGGACATGGCACCACAGGGAGGAGGCAGCATCAGTTAGGAGCAAAGCTTGCTAGAGGTAGTTTTTAATTCATCAGAGAATGAAACCAAATGACAGGAGTGGAATCCTTCTCTTCTACCCCCATGGGCTCCTTTCTTCCTTGCACAGCCAGCACGAGGAAGCTGGTGGATCTGTCTCTCTCTCTCTCTCTCTCTCTCTCTCTGGCTCTTTCTCTGGCTGTCCTTGCATAGTGAGTCAGTTTATGCCTCTGTCATTCAGCTGTTGAGCAAGTTTCTGTTTAGTAGTTGCTGGCTGGCTCTGCAAGGTATGAACATGCTGCTGCTTGGGCTTCACTTTGGAGGGGCAGCCCTTGCTGCTTCGCCTCAGAACGAAACTGAGCGGAAATGGAAAAAACATGTCCACTATTTGCCTGAAAGTGTTGGGGAAAATGTCTGCCTAGGCCTTTTGGGGGTTATGTCTGCTGCTAATAGTGTTCTGAATTTGCACCTGAGAGTATGAGAGGGCCTTGAGGTAAACGCACAGCTGTCTGAAGTTAGATGATAATCACCTCTGCATTATAGGGGTTGAAATCAAGGTGCAAATCAGCTGTATGAGTTAGTCCAAAGCTTGCAGGAAAACTCAAGCAATTTGACAAGAGTGCCAGCAAATCTGTCTGAATTCTGAGTTGTGAATCATGGTAGAGCCAGGAGTACTACAGAAGGAGTGGCACTGAATATGGTGTTCATTGTTGGAGGCCATAATGGAGTTCACTGTTGTCCCATTGTTTTCCGAGAAAGCCTCTGGAAGATGGGCATTGCCTGCAGTTGGGTGTACAGCCATTCTGGTGAGCTGTTTAGCATGATGGTAAGTGGTTGGTGCTCAAAGTACAGTGAGAATAAAATCTTTTTTTTTTTTTTTTTTCAAATTTCATACATAACAGCATGAAAGAACAAATGTTTAACCTAGCTTACCTTTGTGTTTGTGACATTTTCAAGATACGCTTATGGTGCTTGTGGATTGGTTTAGTTAAACAGGGAGATGGCAGGACTGCATTTTCCTTTAACTATGATTTCACTGCAAAGGTCGATRTAAGTTTTTATTAGCACCAAAAATACTGAGTATAGCATCAAAGCAATATCTAGCTATTATACAGTTGCATAACTAAATATGAAAATTAAGACTGCAAAAGTTTTCACATGTGTACTATTTCCTGAGTCTGATTTTCATGCCTTATGTGCATCAACAATAATGGACCAATGCAGCCAAAATTTGCTTCCACAGCTGCTGGCCTTAGGACGTTCCCTGGGCCTCCTGTGTTCTGCAGCTGCAGAGACTATTCCCTACTCTGAACGAAAGAATCTCCCCTCTCCTGTGACTGCAAATGCTGAATGAGACATCCTGTAACACCCAGCTCAGAGGGGCAGAGCTGACAGCTGAAGGCCACCCTTGGCATTTTACTCTTTGGAGATAATGACAGGTGGTGCATAACCATGAGCAGGGAACCCCTCAAGTCTAGAACTAGAAGGGGGACTTTGGGGGGAATTAGTTATAAAAGTTTATTGCCCAAAGGTCTTGGTGCTGTTTCTGCTCCAGGGAGAATGAGGAGGAGAGATATTAAACAGAGGTTTTAAAGAAAAAATAATCTGGCATATTAGAGGACTGCAGCATTTTAGAGGAGTGCAGAGAGCACATTTCTCCACATACCAAGAGTAAGCCAGAGAACTGCTGCATGTAATGTTTCTTACAGAACCACACCAAACTTGCTTACTTTCCAGTTTTGCTCTAAACTAAGATATAAACTTGCCTGTTGCAAGTTTCACCYAAATTCCTTAATCTGCACCTTTCATGTAACTTGGAGGCCACTCAGGATTTTGCAAATGAAACTTCATGGTTGCAAGTGAGTTTCAGTTTGAGCTTTTAACATTCTTGTTCAAACCTGAAACTCAAAATGAAATTAAGGGGGTGCAAAAAGGCGTATATGGCAGAAGTGAAGGAAGAGTTCGCAAGAACCTGTGCAAACCAAACCTGCTAAACGTCCCCCTCAGGCACTATCCACTCATGCAGATAATCTTAGCCTCCATCTCCTTGCTGTGTGTTGGGCAGGCCAAGGGGCCTGGCGGTGGTGCCTCAGAAGCACCACAGCAGAGGAACTGTGAGGCCTTTCCATGGTCAAACACTGTCCCTTTGGGGACAGTAGTTCATCCAAAAGTAAGTTTGTCTTCAGATTCCTTATATGCATCTGTAAGGCAAGACCAGTTTAAACTCTTTTGATAACGGGTAGCTGAAGCTGAAGGAAGCAAGGTTGCAAGCTCTTTTGGAGAAGGGAACAATTTTAGTAACTGAGCTGTAGCAAATGGGTAATTACAACAAGAGCGAGGTGGTGGGGGTGAGAAACCAGATGAATTATGAGGTTTAGTCTAATTTCTGCCCCTGCAGCACTTTTAGTTTGAAAATGGCAACTAAGTCTGCCTCATTATTGAGTCAAATAAATAAAACAAAACCAGAATACTGTGGTGGTTTCTTGATCTGTAAAGCATGCAAAGCTAAAACCACCACATGCAAAAACGATCACAAGAAGAGCGAGTGCAAGCTGAAGAGTTGGTGATACTCTCTCTTTGCAATGCACACAACTCACAATTCTCAGCACAGCTGACCTCTTGGGAACAGATAGGAAGTCCTGGCTCTGCTTGAGTCAATGGGAATTTTGCTGAGGACTTCAGGGAAGCTGGAACTTCACAGCATAACCCATTTTGTGCAGGATAATGTTCCTGGCCCTTAAAACCTTGTAAAATCTCATGTGGGCAAATATACACTTATAGTCCTGCTGGCAAGGATTTATAGTCCTCCTAGCAAGAAGAGGAAATTTAAGGCAACCCCTTTTCACTCTAGCTGGTCTTCTGGTAATAACATCCTACCTTACCCATGAAACAAATACATAAATGTATAAGTAACAAATGGCCTCGTGCTGCTCACTCTGTTAGTCTGTGTACACTTGTCTTCCCTTTGCTGTTCTGTCATCTGAGCCTGGGTCAGTGCACCCCAGCTTAGGCACCGTTTGGYGCAAGGAGTCCTGGTTCACATCCATTCAGGCTGTAGCCCTAAAGAAGTAGCTATGATAGTTAATATTCAGTATACTCAGTAATGTTACTAAGGTAATTTAAAATACTAGTAATTAAACTGGCGCCACTGATTGTAACACTAGGCAACAGAAACACCATGTTCAACAAGAAAACAGATGAACTTTCAGGCCTTGTTCATGCACCTCTTTAGAGAGGTGTTTCCCACTGTATGGAAGTCAAAAGAATGATATTTTAAGTTTATCTTTTTGTCAGCTTTGACTGTGGAGTCCTGAGAGACTGCTAATATTGTTACAGAAAGTTTTATCCTGTTTGTTCTGTTTGCTGAGTTTTCCTACTGAGTCAGTCAAAGCTTCATTTTCACTGAATGTGGAAGATCTGGTATTTTTAGTAATCTGTGCTTTGTGGCAGGGCAAATTCAATTCTTTGGCCACTTAAAAGCTCAGTACGGACAGTTGAAATAGCTGGGTTTCCTTCTGTCTCTTTCCTTGTTTCTTATCTCTGCAAGGTTGACATAACAGTAAAGATCTACAGTCCTTTGGAAAACTCAATAATGGCAAAAACACCTACTCTACCCTTAACCATGCAGTGAAAAGTGCTTAAAGTCAAAATGGCAAAAAGCTGAGAATAAAATGGTGTGAGAAATTCAGAACTATGCATTTCTTGTGTGGCATATTGGTAGGGGTCCTAGTCCAGTGTCCTGTATGCAAAAGCTCCCAGCATAGGGGAGCTTGGTGCTGAAATGCACTGTCACCCAGAGCAGCTGAGGCTGGAGATCATCTGCTCCAACCCCCCTGCTTAAGCAGGGTCACCTTGAGCAGCTTGCCCAGGACCGTTAGTAGCTTGCAGCAGTCTGCTCTTGTGGTGAGAAGGACAGTGTTGGGGTAATATTACACTTGTCTTAGCATTTGAAAGTAAGTTCAGCAGATCATAGGTTTCATACTGATGATGTGCCTCARTATAGACTGCATCTATACAACCCTATTATGGAAATACTATGGTATTATTTCCTAATATTTTGAAACTTACCTTTTCCTACAGAAGCTCTTCAAAGCTGAAAAGAAGCTTAACACCTACGGCAGAAGCAGTTGACATCCTAGAGGTGGAGTCAGCTTGCCACACCAGTCAGTAGATCTCTGAATTAAGATGTCAGTCTGAGAACTTTTCCACCCAAAATGTGAGGGTTCTTTTTCCGGTGGTGGCTTATCTGCAGAAACCCGCTAATGGTT